CATCCGAGCCAAGAGGTGTCTCGATTTCACAAATGTTGGTGTGACCATTGGAGGCAGTTTCACTACCACTCTTAAGTCTTAACATATTAACATGGTACCGACGAGATTATGAGCCAAAGATTCGGAACTCCCACAGTTTATATAAAAATAATAATATCAACATGATAATTGATTAGGTTACCAAACAAAAACAAACAAACATGGTAATTGAATAAGAAATCAAGTATAGACAATTCAACGCTCTACATAAATTAATTATTGAATGTGTACCAAAAACTCTTCCAATTATTATCCTTTTTTCTAACTCAAAATATGTGGTCATGTTTAAAAACCTTTTGCTCCAATCAATTTTGTTATTTTCTTTTTGAAAATAAGAAAACCTATTGGAGCTAGGGTTTCCAAATAGAGTTAATTTAGTGTATGGGCAGAAAAAAAACTATAATTAAAAAAGTAATTAAAAATCCTACATTTAATGGCCATGCAAATGGCCACTTTTAATTACTTTTTTAATTATAATTCTTTTTTTTCACTATATATCAAATTGACCCTTTCAAATATGACCACATATTACAAAAGAAACGAAGAGATGTATAAGCACGCATGGGAGGTTCTGAGGGTGTGCAAGGTATGCAACCACACATGGCCCATTTTTTTTAGTTAATTTTTATTGTAATTTAGGACCCAAAAATTATTAAAATTATATATAAAAGGACCCAAAATTTTAGATTTTAGAAAATATAGACTATTTTTAGAAAAAAAATTAAAATTTTTGCACAGGATCCAAAAATTTTTTGGTTTTTTTTTGAGCGGTCCACGCATGTCTTTTTAAGGAAAAGTATATATGCATCAATGATAAGATCATTTTTAAATCATCATCGTTGGCTTTGAAAATTTTAAGAAAATTGCAAGGGCATACAAGAAAAAAACCGATAAAGAAAACACGAAAATCAACCTCACTCAACCATCAATGGGTTGGGATCTACTAGAAATCAAGATCGATAGAAACAAACGAAAAAAGGAGAACTAAAAATTTAAAAAATTAGTGCATATGGAGAAACATTGTGTGAACATATGTGACAAAAACAAATGTTAAAAAACTTTATAAAACAAATTGTAATTTACAGCGGCCAAAATTATTAAAATGGTTTTATAGCGCATTGTGCGGCATAAACTATAAACACTTGCCGTAAATTTGACTGAAAAACATAATTATGTGAGACTTAAAAAAAAATGGGGATGGAACACTTAGATAATCAAGATAACAAAATTATTAAATCACCCTCAACGCTTTTGAAAATTTTAAATTTAACATTAACACACATAAGACTTAGATAACTTGATAAACAACTTAGATCGGCAGAGATCTACAATATAAACACTAGATAAGAAAAAGTGAAACCAAAACAAAAGGAATTGAAGAAAGGATGACTGATAATGGAGAGGAGATATACCATGTTATACAGCGAAAAAAATTAAAGAAAACCCTAGAAAAACATTGTAATTCACGCATAGAAAGAACATTATAATTCACGCCAGTCAAAATTATGGGCTCATTAGCCCATTTGGTATATTGTATATGATATGACTATTGGATTTCAATTTTGTTGACTTATGTTCTATCTTTTTATGGTAGTTATAATAAAAAAAATTTATACCTACTACACTAAATAAAAATGATATTGAAATTTTATTTAAGTAAAATGTTTGATGTCATTCTAGTAAAATTTTGTTTAAACACTAGAATGGAGAAATGCAAGATTGTAGAAGAGACATGGACATGTAGAAAAGAAAAATTGTTAGACAACAACCCTAGAACAAACATTGTAATTTACACCGGTCAAAATTATAAATTTATAAACTCATTTGATATGTGGTATGCAACATGACTAGTGAGTTTTCAGTTTTGTTGAATTATGTTTTACTTTTGTTATAATAATTGATTCATAGTTAACTGATTTGAAACTTTTTTTTAAGTAAAAGTTTGACGACTATAGT